AGCCACCCCTTGCCCCAGGGACACGAAATGGGCAGAAGTGGACAAAGGCCAAGGCCCCACAAAGGACACCCACAAGGGCCAGGCCAAAGGTCTGAAAAGAAAAAAGGAGGGGAGGGGGGAACAAGGAACCACACGCACCCTGTCAAGACGGCCTCGGAACAACAAACAAGGTCCAAAGGAATCACGAGCTCTAATCCCACCCCCAAAATCCACCACAGCAAGGGGAAAAGGTAAAGTCAAAAAAGTCCGCCAAAGCCAAGACGCGGCAACACTAGACAAGGCCAAGCAGACAGGTCCAGGTCAACAAATCCCGGGTGCCAAAAGCTCCGCAACGTGACACAACACAAACTACTTGGGCCTCCCAGGAAATCAAGAGGACGGAAGAGGAGGAGGAAACATCCCCGGAAAAGGCCGAGGCAGTCAACAGACCCAACAATAAAACAGCTATAAAACTATAAAGAAATGAATGGTGACAAAGGACGGCAACACAAGGAAAACCGGAATCTGGTCCTTGAGCCAAAAAGGTTGGTGCTGATCAAAGTCCCAAAACCAGGGAAACTGGTCAGCTTGGAAGATCGCAAAACCCATGTGCTCGGACTTCTAGGAAGGGTTTTACGGGGGGGGGGGGGGGGGGGTGTTTCCTTCCTTCTGACATAGATCAGGAGCGGTCAGAATTTGAAACCCACCTGAAGGTGCGGAGAAAGAGCGAGCGAGTGAGCGAGTGAGCGAGCAGCTGGAGAGCTCCTATCCCATCTGGGAAGACTTCAACTCCAAGCCAACCAAACTGCACTCTCAACAGTGGACGACCGTTCTGGCCTCCCTGGGCGCTTTCCAGAAAGTGGCAGATATGGCCACCAACACCCGAGATGAGAAAGCCACTGAACTCCCAGCTGCAGCCAGTGAGGCATTAGGATCCGTGTCTGGGAGGATCTCAGGAAGTTTTAGACCAGCGAAGAGGCTCTCCAGTCTATGGGGAAGCGCCAAACGGAGATACCTCGCCAAGCGCCATGCCCAAAAATATGCTGCTGCCTTGGCCAGCCAACACCAGCCTCCCCCCAAAAACGAAGACCTGCTCAGGGGGTCAGGCTGAAAGAAACACCCTCGAAGACTCATGTCGCTCCAGCGAAGGCCAAAGAGCCAGTCGCGCCTGCAACACCAAAGAGAAGGACTCCCCCGGCCAATGGGAAGCCTGCAGAGGAGCGGGAAGTAGAGGACATGCCGCACCTCAGAGTAGCCATAGCGGGCACAAATCAGGAGAAGCCCGAGCAGACAGTGCCGAAATCGCCCTGCCTGGCGACAATGCTGCCGCCTTCCAGGCCTGCCACATAGAAAAGTCCTGCGGAGCTTCTTGCCCTGCATGAGCAGAATAAATTCAAGGCTCGGGAGCTCGACTCCCGGATCGTGGAAGACTCCCCTCTTTTGCCAAAAAATACACCAGCCAAAGAGCCAACCGAGCCGATGGGCTTCAACTTTCAGGTTGAGGATCGGGCCCGGACACGGGAGAGCAAGAAACAGCAGGAGGAGGAGCCCTACGAGCCGTGCCCTGTGGTGGTCCCCAAATTCAGAGCCCACCCGTCGCCCCATTTTCACCGTGTCCTTCTGCCAGAGAAGAAGGTGAAGAGACCCACCAAGCCAGAGCCCTTTCACCTGGCAGTCGACAAGCGAGGGGCCGCGTGGCAAGTACTGTGGCAGCAGAAGCTCAAGGAGGAGGCCGAGAAGCAGGAGGAGGCTGCCTCGTTCAAGGCCCAGCCGAGTGTTGTGACCAAGCAGGAGCCTTTTGTGCCCAAGAAGGACGGCAAGAGACTCACAACTCCTGAGGGCTTTCAGCTGGCCACAGCAGAGCGCGCCCGGAAGCGGCGGCGGGAGAACCATTGATGACACCACGTT